ATAAAGAAGATGTGGTTTTTGTATAAAATAGAATACTACTCAGCCACAAAGAATGAGAAATTAGAGATATACATAGGAAAATGGATTCATATTGAGGATATACATCAAAGTGAAATAAATAAGTCACACATGTTTAAATACTGAATAGTTTCTCTGGTGTACAAATTATAATGGTACATAAGATCCTAATGATATAATTGAGAATGTGAAATAGGAAGAAAGGGCAAAAGGTGTAGGGGAAGTGGGAAAGGTTAGGGGAAAGGTAATAAGGGAGAGGAAGAAAAAACCATGAGAAAATGAAAAATGGAAATAAAGTATTTGTAAATAGGGAAGGGAGGAGTGGGTGAAGGGAGGGCAGGGATAAGGGGAAAAAATGAGAACCAAGACCTGTCATGTAAAGGTACAAAATCCCAGTGATGAATGTAACTATGCTGTATACCTAAAATGTACCAATAAACTCAATGAGAAAAATAAATAAATTAAAAAATAAAAAAAGTAAGAGAACCCACCCTCTGTCAATCAAAGGGATTTATGACTTAACAACAATTGAGAATCAATATGACTAAATTCCACACTGTATAATACAAACTAGTAGTTAATGGGTAAAAATAATTGTCAGCGATGAGACTATGTTTAGGAATTTAATCACACAGTCCTTCTGCACCATCAGTATTTTCTCAGGATCCTTTTCATAAAAGGGACATTATTAAACCTAGTTTTTTTAAAAAGCTAATAATTCAGCTAGACATCAACAAAGTTCTTAGGTATATTCCACATCATGATCATGGAAATCCTTTTAAGTTTTATATGTTTCTTCCAAAATGGATCCCCTTCTCACAGACATGAAAGGCTTTCCCTGCCTAACTTACTGCCTGGATCCCAAGTGCCTGGCTTGGATACAGTGACATCCATCAAAAGATATTTATGATTTTTTTAAATGCAAAAATTTCATGTCTTAAATGTAGAAAAATGATTATAAGAATATCACAAAATAGAAATAACAGTTGTATCTTTGTGAAGGGTTACTGGGTGTGTTTTGCCTCATAATTACTATGCTTTCCAAATATTTCATAATGAGATGTATTATTGGACTTTCAATGCAATTATACTATCTACAAATGAGAATAAATTTTTCCAATTATTATACTTCCATTTTCTTTGAAAAACAGTCTTATTGCATTGGCTAGTATTTTAAAGCTGTGTTGAACAGATGCAGTGACAAGGGTATCTTGTCCTTTTTTCTTCTGATTTTAATGGAATGTTTTAAGGTTTCACCATTAAAGTTAGCATAATATTTATAATAGTACTTACTTAAAGTCAAAGTAAGGTTGTTCCCTTCTGTTACTGGTTTGCTAAAAGGTTTTAATATCATTTTATGTTTAAGTTTATCAAATGCCTTTCTGACATCTATTATCACAACCACAATTTTTTTTTCCAATACTGGGGATTAAATCCAGGACCTCCACACTGAGCTATACTCCCAGCACTACCATCAACCCTTACAATTTTTAAATTTTGACACAGGGTTCTGCTAAATTGCCCAGGCTGAGCTCAAATTTTCAATCTTCCTGCCTCAACTCACAGTGCGCTGGAGTTACAGGCATGTACTCCCACACCTGGCTCATGACCATGTATTTTTATCTCCATCATGGTAATACAAAGGGAGATGATCTCCCCAAAACCTCCTTCAAAGAAGCTTCCTCTCTAGCTTCTGGAAGCCTCCCTTTTAGTCCTTTCTCAGTGGGCCTCAGTTCACCCAAGAGTATACCCTCCCAGAAAGCCTACCAGTGACTGATGGAGGCAGAGATTTGAAGGCCCAGCCATTACGCATCACAACGGGCTTCAGTGGGACAACGCTGAGGGGCCAAAGCTCCCCTGGGCTTGGCAAGGCTTTGAGGACCACAGTCTCCTTTGCCCTTTGTTCACCCCACTCAGCTTCTTCCATCCATTTATTTTGAAGACCAAACTCCATCTCAGAATCTACTTTCAGAGGACTCAACCTATGGTATCTATTTAAATCAGATATTTTTAACTGTTAAAAAAAAACTTTGCATTCTTGGGGGAAAATCCTTTCATACATGTGACAGGGTTTGGGTTGGCAATGTCTTAAACTTTTACTTATTTGCACTGTGTCTGCTGTCAATATGCACTCTGTACGTCCTCCAGGGACTGGCTGCCTGATGCCATCTACAGTTACGGAAATTCCTTCTCGAAACAGAAGTATATCCTGTTTTATAAGTACCCTCAGAAGACGTTTTTATTATTTAGCTTAGTTTTAATTTCAAAACATCTTCAACCTTCTGACTGATTTTGTTCTGAGCAGCACTTGTCTGCACACTCTGTGTGTGAGAGATTTTTCTGTTTTTGGTGCCAGGCCATTGATGGCTTTGACAGAGCCCTCCACTTGGGAATCACTATCTTCCTAGCCCATGTCAGTTCCTAGCTGTGGCCTAAGAGAGCTTCTTAGAGACTAAAGAGGAATGTGATCCACAACAAAACCCTTTGGAATAGGGTTTTGCATGAGACCTATCTCTCATGAGCTTAAGGAATACAATAAACAAATGACAGAAGACTCACAGAACATAAAATTATAGGGTGAGGAATGGTCTTATCATGTGCTAACATGAGACAAGCACGCAGCTATAAGTGTTTACTGGTTATTTTCCTCAGAGGATCTTTCTTATCAGAACATCAAAGAGAGGCTGTAGTCACCATTCTCCCTTCTCCCTGCCCAAACTTTAGAAAGAAACTTTCTTTTAACCAGGAAGACACATAACTCTTGCACCTTAGAACTTTTAACTTTACAAATGCACAAATGTTTTCAGGTTCTATTATTTAACAGAATTAGAACTATGCCCAAGAGTGATTATACACAATGATAATGGATGACTGTATCATTTGGCTGTAACAAAGAATTATGAATTTGTCTAGAAGCTCAGAATATCTGCTATGGAACCTATACAAATGAGTTTATTGTAACTAGTGGAAAATATTTTAAGAGCACCTGAAAAAATTATTTTAATTGTATTGCCACTGACTTACAGAAAGCCCAGTATGCAATATGAAAATATAATTTGTTCAGCAGTGTTTGATTTTGTAAACTATGCCATCATGTACTCATCTAAAAAATGAAAGACTAGATTGGATGATGGTAAAGACCTTTCTTTCACCACTAGAGTATAGTTTCTGTTTCAGATGAGGGAAATAGAGACATGACTCACCACTGTTTACATACTTGCTAGTGACAGAACTGTGCATGAAACTGGACTATTCTGATCCCCAATAGCTTCACCATTTGTCTCAAAAAAGATGAATCCCCATAAAAAACTAAGTTGGCTGTGGCTTCTGCCCATAAGAAAACACAAAGTTCACTATGAGTTTGTTTAAAGTGGACATAACTCAAGATTACTGTGGTACTTTACAGACAGGTTTATTTTGAAAAGGAAAGAATTGGTGAGCTCGTGGGGTCTACACAGGGCACGGGGTAGAGGTGTGAGAAACACTTCCCTTTGGGCCTGGAGCAGAAAGTAAACCTGAGATGAGTTTAATGGCCTTTCTTGGAGCCTTTAACACAGAAGTTCCCACCCAATCTAGTCTCTGACTTAGGATAGTGAGTAACACACCACCATCTCGTCAATGGCTCACCTACCTAGAAGTCTGATTTAAAGGATTAGGGAAGTAAGACATCTAGTGTGAAAACTTGAGGTTTCTTTTATTAGAAGTCAGATTTAGTTTTTAGAATCATCTGAAGGTGAATAGTTGCAAAAACTTTAGGCTTCTGTGGCCTGGCATCAGCAAAGCTTACCTTTGCTCTTCTCACTGTGGCCAGAGAAGACCACCTCACTCTCTAAGAGTAGGTGTGTTTGCCAAAAACCTCACATATGTGTGGGTAGAGTCAGTGGAGGTTGGCGAGATTATTCAAAGTCCGCAGAGGCCAAACACTAATGGGGCAATGAGAAGTAACATTTTGGGAGTCAGCAAGTTCCTTCTGCTGAGGTCACCAAAGGTGCACTTCTGAAAACAGGATGAGGTAGAGTAATGGTTACAGGGTGGGGGTTGAGGGCAGGACCTCAGGTTCCTGAGGGACAGGCACCTTCTCTGCACCACCTCCATCACCCTGGGGCTTTGGGCCACAGCCCAAACAAAAGTCATCTGAGGTGGCTGCAGCTATAGGACTCTCATTGGAACTTGGAAATTAGGGAAATAAAGCTGTTCAGAGTTAAGTCAATTCCAGTAAATCAAGAGCATATACAAAGTTGCTTTAAAAGAGTATATCTCAATTTTGAGGCCCTAAGTCTCTTTAAGGAATTGACACAAAGCTATTCACACAAGCTTCTCACTCCCATCTCTTCCTGTTCCTGTAAAATTTACACATGTGTAGCACATATGTTAATCTGCAGTTTGGAGATGCACTGGTCCAGGGTAAGACTGTAGTTTAAAGAGTCAGAGGGGTCCTGGTTGAGGAAAGTTAACCTGAAAGTGTTGTTTCTTTTGGAGAAAGAGTATGTCTGTCAGAAAGATTTGTCTGCAGTTGTATATGCAGCAGAAAGAGCCACCAAGGCACAGCCAGTAGTGGCCACAAAGGAGAGAAACAAGCAGAGGTCTCTAACAATCCTGCCCAGACCTGGCTTTGCTGAGCATTGCCTTTGTCTAGCTGGAAAACACATACATCACCAGTTCCTAACCAGTCTCCTCTCTGATTCTACATTTGCCAAGAAAGCATCTGTGGAAAAGCTGTCCTCTGCTGTAGATCTGTGCAAGGGACAGTGTGTTCTGGTCTTGGAGTCAGTCATATTGGCGACAAGTGAATTTGTACTGTATTGTGTATACTGGTTTCACAAACTCAGCCTTGAGAGTCAGTGAGATCCACTGTCACTGTGCTCAAACTGTGCTCACTTTTCTAAGCTTATATGAAGAGGTCTGGAAACTAACATGCCAGAGTAATCCCTTGGTAACTGGCTGGTCACACACACGCTCCCACTGGAAATTACTTCACTTACCTTTTATAGGACACCGGATTGTCACATTTGCTCCAACAGCTGCCTCCACAGCGCCCCCCACCATGACAGACAGATGGTTGTGCTCTGGTTTGGTGACATTTCTTTCAATAGACAAGATGACAGGTGCCTCTTAATTCAAAGGGAGGAGAAAACTATTAGGTTCAGGCTTTACTATTTGGCAAGCAGTGCTGCATTTGGTACACTGTGTTGAACTCCAAGGAATCTGAGGTAGAGAGAGCTCGTCCCTTGTGGTGCACCATGGGGACTTCATAGCTGGATTGTGCAGTGGTTACATGGATATATGGATGAACAGAAAGATGGCTGGCTGGATGGACAGATGAACAGATAGGTGGAGGGATGAATGGATGGGTGGAAGGAGGGAGGAAGAGACGGATGGTTGGATAATTGGATTGTTGGGTGGATGAATAGATAGATGGTGGATGAATTGTTTGTTTTTTGGTATGGGGGATTGAACTTGGGACCTTATGCTTGTGAGGCAGGTGGTGGCACCACTGAGCTAAATCCCCAGCCCTGGATAGTTGAATTGTTTGACAGATGGATAAATGGAGGGATAGATGGATAGATGAGTGAGTAGAGGGATGATGGGTGGATGGACGGTTGGATAGATGGATGGACACAGTTGCTGGATGGATGGATAGTTAGATGCATTCAACAAAAGTGCACTGCAACAACCATATATAGAAAGGATATTTTGGGTTTTATAATGAAAATCAAGGATAAGTTTGATGTTCAAAATAGAGATTCTCAGGCTTGGGATGTAGCTCAGTGGTTCTGACTCCTGCCTCACAAGTGCAAGGACCTGAGTTCAATCCCTGGTACCAAAAACAAAACAGAGATTCTAAGGTTCAACCACTGGCATTACCTGCATACAGCACAGAAGAACTTTCCTCATCTGAACCCAGATGATTAGCTACAGAACATTCATATATTCCTTGTTCTTTCCTTGTAGGGTTCCTTATCTGTATTCTTCCAGTTCCATCCAAGCTTATCCTGTAGAACAGTTACAGAGGATGCATTCAAGTAACACATCTAACTGCTTTAGGGCCATAGCAAGCTGCAAAAAAAAAGAAGACTATAAAATTATAGGCTGGTGGGGAACTCAAAATATGATCTCACAGGGATCCTTCCTAGATCCAGAAAACTATATAGATCAGAGGGATAGGAGAGTCTTTCCTCTTGCCCTCAATTCCTGGCACTGTTAGAATTGAATAGTGCTTGGATAGCCGGGCTTCCCACATTGTATTAGGGGAGAACAGTGTTTTCTGGATAGACTCACTGCTTATTCTGCTACACTTTTTAAAATGATAAACTAGCTAATCTCTGAGTTTGCTGAATATAAAACTCTCATTTTCTGGCCAAATCCTAACACACTGCAGATGTGGATTTCCATACTAGAATCGAGTGGGCTTTAGTTAAGGCCCCTATGCAATGGGTTCTTGTGTCACTACTACTGTGTAAAGAGTTGGGTGAGGGGACAGTGCTAAGGTTGAGGGTTTATACTGGATTTGTACCATGCTGTTAAGACTCAGGGATAAACTGCCTGAGTTTCTGGAGTTTCCTGATTACTGACATCCCTAAAGACCAGTATGAGCTGGATGTGCTGGCACCCCCATGCCTGTAATACCAGCACTAGAGAGGCTGAGGCACGAAGATCACTGGGAGTTTCAGGCCAGCCTAGGCTACATAGTGAGTTCAAGGCCAGTCTGAAATACATAGCAAGACCCTGACTCAAACAAAAAACAAAACAAAACAAAATGTAAATGCCATTCTGAAAGTCAGGGTTCAGGGTTGATTAAGTGAATCCTAATAAGGTAATTTATTCAGAGAAATGAGAAAGATTATTTTTTCTTTTTTTTTTGAATTTTATCTTTTTCTTTATAATTTTAGCCCATTTCTAAATCTGAATCAGGGGTCTGTCCATATGTTCTTTATTTCCTCATCCTACTTTATAGATTTTAGAAATATGGATTACTCTGACCTCTAAATACTGTGTTTTTTCATGAATTGAGTTATGCTTCAGCCATAATGTTTCCACAATCTCTCATCACCCTAAGCTTCTGTACATGCTGTTCACTTTATTTGAAATTGCCTTCTCCTCCTTTTTTGGAAAACTCCAATCTACCCCCACTGTGTTCTGGATCAAATGTAATTTCCTCTACAAACTTTTCCTCAATATTTGTACAGTTATCCTCTACCCCCTTTGGATTCCATCTTCCCTGGTTCATGTATTTATTTGATGAAATATCTATTTCTTCCCACTAGATTGTGATCTTTTGAAGGGTAGGGCTAATCTTATTCACAGCTATGACTTCTCAGTGCTTAGCACAATGGGTTTTCTATAGCAATTCCCCAAACCTATTGATGACTAAATGTATGAGTATTAGAATAAAATGGAGGAATGGCTCAGAGTAATTTCCAAGAAGGATGTCAGGAACCCCTGCCCTGTGACTCAAACAGAAATATACAAAAGTGGGCAGAAGTCAAGGCAGCTAGAATTCTTCACAGTATAAGGTCTACAGAAGACTAGCTATCCATGGGGCTAGATTTTCACTGTCAAATACCTGTCGAGGAAGAATAGCTAACAACAAAAGTATAACAAGTAGCTATACATACATATATGACAAATAAACACACTAATATATTTTCTTAAAGTTTTTGTACATATGCATGTGTGATTTAGCAATTCTTGAATAATCTCTTTGTTTTGTAGGCTTCAACTTAACAGCCCACAAGAAGTCAATGAAACTTGAAGTTGATGGGCATGCATGAGCCTCACATGCCAAACTGGCCACCCAGCCACTAAGAGTGGACCAATCCTTGGGGTAGAGAACCAGCAAGTGACCCTTCTTATGTACCTGACCTTGGCCATGGCTGCATGATCTTACTTTTAAGTCAAAGCAATAACAAAGCAGGTCTTTCTGTAGACACCACCACCCCTAACTGATCATCTATACTCTTTACTTTCTGAAATGGGACTTCTTACTAGTTAGCATCCAAAGCACCCACTCAGTATCTGCACACTCTGCTCTCCGTGGAGAGGCTCTGAGGAACTGACTCCCATTTTCCAATTACTTCAATTGAAAAGATTTGTGAGCATCAGAAACATATATCCAAAGGTGACAATCTCACTATGTAAAGGGAATTAAACACAAATTGAACAAATTAAGTGACTTTTAGAGAAAAATGGAAATGAAAAGAGTTTTATTCTCTCAAAAATTAAAAATGAAAACTTTTAGACATATGGATTTGCTTCTATTTTAAGTGGTTCCTCCTGAAGAATACAGAAGCACATCTTAGTAAAGGTAAAAACTCTTCTTTAAAGTAGCTCTAGGAGTCTCGGCCTCAGACACTTAGGTTAATTCCTTTCTATCAAGTCTAACTATCCATGGTCAACTCAACACATATTTATTTAAACTGGCCATGTGCTGCAACATCACAACCAGAGGCCAAGGGATGTGTTAGCTTTCTCAGCTTCCTTCCTTCCTATTTATATTACAGAACTTTTGAGCCAGTAAGCAGGCGTTAAAGGGTGTCCAGGGACCCCATAGTCAGTGAGATAAAAACTCCTTCCATAATCATAGCAAGCTGTGATGTGCCTTTGCAGCGATGATGGAGATGCAGTGGCAGAGCCACCAGCACCCAGTCACAGGCACAGGCAGTGTCACCAGTGTCGGAAATCACCACATTCTAGGCCACCACACACTCACCACAAAAGCAAAAGGCCAGCTCCACTTAATGAAGTAGTGAGGCTTGTGAATTTTACTGAAGATCAATCCTTCAGAACAAGGGTGTTTACTCTTCTGTCTGACAGCACAGGAGGCACATGCAGGGCACATGTCCTACATATGGAAGCACAAGGGGTGACTATTTGCATTGCTGGTTCACTGGGTACCTTCTTCATGGACTAGGATTTTTATTTGAGAGAGGGAATGGCAGACAAGCTATGAAAAAAAATCCACACTTACTCGGACTTGAATTGTTGGCTTAGAGCACCTCAAAAAACTATGATTCTTATCATCTTATTTCTGGATTGTATGACACAAACCACCATGTAATGGTAGAACATCACTTCAGATATCCAATCTTTCTACCAAGGCTTCTATTGGATGGTGGAACATGGCTGGTGGTATTCAGGAGCTATGGCTCCTGGTCCTTGATGGTCTGGGATTCTGTTGCTCAGTGACTTCATCAGAAAACTGAACTGATGCCCCACCAACCTCCTACAGTGCACAGGAGCTCAAGTGAGATGTCACACGTCCTCGACACCTACCTCAAGCTCTGTGAACTGTGACTTGCAGTTCTAACATAATGCAGAATTATTATTCATATGCTTAACTTTTTAAATGGCTTTATATTTATTTTTACACAAAGGGAGACTCTATACATGCTTACATTCATTCTCCCAATACTGTTTCATATCAATATGCTAGTAATTAGGATAACATGATAGTTTAAGAAATTGCAAGGCATAAGTGAAAAGAACATCCTAACATTTTAAATGTTTATTTTAGTAGGAAACATATTCTTAGGAAAAGACACTCTAAAATATTTTCAAGAAAACTTCAACAGCCTTTAACGAGGAACTGCAAAAATGAACACTGTATTCTCATTTTACTTACTTTACTGAAGGTTGCAACAGTACGCCATCCTTGGTCCATGTATATGTGACCCTGCTGGGGCTAACAAGGTCACAGATGATATTGATGACCTCTGTCCTTTTTGTAATGTACACTGTGTTTCCAATCCTCACAGTTATTGTTTTATTGAATGAAACTGAAGGGGGCTGGCTTTGCCTCACAAGAATGGGTCCTTTGGGCTTAAATGTCAGCTTGCCCACACTTTTCACACTTCCACTTTGGGGTGTACTCCCTGTTTGGCCTCTGAGTTGAGCGGAGGGTGGCCGCTCCTCCTGGACGCCCCTCCACTGTGGGGGTGTTGTCGGCTGCACCTTTACCAACTCAGCCACCAGCTGATAAATCACCTGCGAGGCGAAATCCTCGCTCACCTCCCCAGTCTCCATGAGCTGACTCATGTTTCTTATCAGCTCCTCAAACTGGACGGTGTCCATGCTGTACGCTCCCTGTTTGACAGCCGCTTCAAACTGTTTATTCTTAAACTCCCAGGAGTTGGTGTTGCCTGCAGGGTTGCTGCAGTGGCCAAACAGAGCTTTGAAGAAAGGCTGGTTATTAATTTGACCATCAGGCAGGTAAAGCTCATTTTTATTACTCCACATCTGCCGCACTTTCTGCCAAGAAGCTCCCAAACTATTGTCCTCGGGGTGGTCCGTCCCAGGCTGCTCCTTCCCGTGCTGTCTGAGGGCTGGGTGTGCGATGAGCCGGTTGTCAGTCCCGATGAGCTTGAGGACAACAGTGTCGTGTGCGGAGCCTGCAATGCACCTATACACGCCAATGTCGGGGGCTTCCAGGCTGTGGATTTTCAGCAAGCCTGACTTAGTGATGCTGAGTCGTTTGGAGTTCTGCAGGCATTGACCGTCCTTCTCCCACCGGATCAGAGATCTCTGGAATCTTCGCACTGGGCATTTAATGATCACAGAGGTGTTGGGAAGCAAGTAGGCTCTGCTACCAACAGTTAGGTTGATCCGTTTCTCTATTCTGGTCTGAATGTAGACTCTCTGCACACTGAGAATCTGAGGACCCAACTCAGGAGCTTTTATTTTTCTCTCTAGTTTCATTACTGCACACACACACACACACACAAAAGATAAGAAAATGGAAAGAAATATTCAAAACTAAAAGCTTTTGGACAGCACTCTTCTAAGGCTGTAATGTAAGCATACAAATGTCCCCCTTTTTCAACTCTTAAAACGATTGAATAGTAAAACATGAATAACATTAGATACCCAAACATGGGAGTGACTGTCACAGCTTTCTAGTACTTTAGCAGCAATGGCTACAAGTTGGAATGAGTTGCATGAAAACGTGTATATTATTTTTTAAAAGCCCTGGTGTGGAGAGGCATGATGTTATATGGCTCAGTGAAACAGAAGGGATGGTTACTTCTACATGTAATAAATATTTGTTCTATGATGAGCTTATAGGATGGCCTCAAAATTACCGAGAATCTGGATATAGGTTTCTATAAGCAGGATTTGGTCTGATATGCTGGGCCTCCATCCAGCTGGTGGGGTGACCCTCGGGGAATTAATCTAGCTTGGAGCCAGGAGAACACTATATGTAAGGGGGGAAATAAGGGTAGGAATGCAAATGAATGCTGAAGGGCCTGAAAAACTGCTAAATATAACCCAAATATGCCATTTCACCTATCCTGGGGGTCTAAAGAAGAAATGTGCAACTGTGATCAGAAAAGAAAAGTGGTACAGGCACTTTGACCCAAACACTTCTGAGTTTACATCTTAATTCTGCCACTTGGATAATCAGTTAACCTCTCTGAATGCCAGTTTTCTGACCTATAAAATGTGGATAATGGTAGTACTTTCATCAAAGGAATGTGAAAATTAGTTCAGATTGTTTCTATGAAATGTTTAGCATAGTAACATATGCAAAATGAGCTCCTGTGTATGATTACAGTGATCCTGGCCAGATGACAATGGCAGGTCCAGCCAAGAGGCAGCAAGGAACCAGAGATGTGGCTACCTTACTTGTTCCTGGGCACAGACTCTAGTTAATGGGCTGGGCCCAAAGGGGATGCACCTCAGATCCTGTAGCCCAAGAGAAGTAGCTATCTCCTTGATTCACTTGTGTGAGAGAGCTCAACGTGTTCTGGGATGATTCTGAGGATGTGGGCACTTAGGTGTGTACACAGGGGTCTGGATTCTCTCTGAGGATGTGTTTCATTCCCTGGCCATTACAGGATGGGGCCTAGAAGGCCTGGAGGCACTGTTGAATAACTGGACTCACATTGTAGATACTGCTAAATTTAGGACATCATGAAATTAAAGCTTTATTATCCTAAAGAAACTCACGTAAGGGTCCTCATGGTATAAGCACTGTCAGGAACATAGTGGGAGAAAAAACAATGAGTTCACTTAAATAACCTTCCTAGGCTCTTGGACCTAAGTAGAGTGTGTTTGCTGGTACCTTGATTGGCAAGAATAAATCCGAGTCTCCTAGGTGTCTCATGAACCCTTTCTCTCTGGCTGTCTGCTAAGGTTTGGTGGTTCGGAAAAAGCAACAGATATAGACCCTTAATTTCTTTGGGAGAAATAGTTCTTGGTGAAGGACAGGTATGATGAATTCACACGGAAATTTCATAAAGAAGAAATTGGCAGTTCATTTGCCTGAAGTTACGTTGCAAAGTTACAGTGATTAAATAGCATGGTAGTGGCCCAAAGCATGCATGAGGATCAATGGAACAGAATAGAAGATATATTCAGCTATTTGATCTTTGAAAAAGGGACCAAAAGCATACACTGGAAACATACAAGGGAAGATAATCTCTTTAACAAATGGTGCTGGGAAAACTGGATATCTACATGCAGAAGATTGAATCTAGACATGTATCACTCACTATGTACTAAACTAGAATCAAAATGGATCTAAATGTTAAATCAGAAATACTTAACTCAGTGAAAGGTAGAATAGGTAAAACTCTTGAAGACATAGATGTAGGCAAGGGCTTTCTGAACAGAACCCCAAATGAACAATAAATAACTTCAAGAATCAACAAATGGGAGCACATCAGATAAAAGTTTCCTCACAGCAAAAGGAACAACCAAGAGAAGGAAGAGATAACCCACAGAATGGGGAAAAATGGTGTAAGTGAACTGAAAAAAAAATTAGCTCTCCCAATAAAAACTCAATAAAAAAATGGGCAGCTGAAATGAATAGACAAGTTTCAGAAATATACATGGCTAATACATGCCTGAAAAAATTGTTCAACATTTCATTAGAGAAATGAAAATTAAAACACTTAGATTCTATCTTACTCCAGAAAGAATGGGTATCATCAACAAATAACAAATGCTATAGAGGCTGTGAGGGAAAACAAACCCTCTTACATTGTTGGTGGAAATATAAAGTAATACAACCATTGCTGGGGATTTAGCTCAGTGGTTCCACCACCTGCCTTGTAAGCACAAGGATCTGAGTTCGATCCCCGGGACAAAAAATGTAATACAACCATTATGGAAATCAGTATGGAGATTTCTAAAAAAAAGCTAAAGTAGAAATTTCATTCGAGGGGCCAGGGATTTAGCTCAGTAGTTCTAGTGCCTACTTTGCAAGCACAAGGACCCAAGTTCAATCCCCAGTACTAGAAAAAAAAAAAAAAAGATATTTCATGTCATCGGGTTATTCCCCTTCTACGTATATTCCTGAAAGAGTTAAAGACACATTACATCAATACATGGTGGCTTAGTTACTATTTGCATTGCTGAGACACACTATCAGATACCAACAAGTTAAAAGGAGGAAATGTTTATTTCAGCTCATAGTTTGTAGAGGTTTCAGTCCATAGTTTGCTGGCTCCAAAGAAGGGCAGCATGTCAGAAGGGTATCACAGAGGAGAAACAGTCCATGATATGGCAAGCAGAAGGCAGTGAGCAATAGCAGCAACAGCAGCAGCAAGCCTACCTTTCCCTTGTATACCATTCAGGTTACAAACTTTTTTGGGTGGTGCTATCCACATCCAGGGTGTGGCTTCTGTCTTTAGTAAATCCATTCAGCCACACCCAGAGCAATGCAAATTCTAATCAGTGGACTAATTTAGTTCTATACACCCTTATTCCCAATATCACATGCCCTAGATCCAGCCAGCTCCAAAAAGCCCCACCCGTGAATGCATGAGGCTTTGGGGAGATATCTAGATACAAACACGAAAACCAATATTTATAGCAGCACAATTCATAGTAGCTAAATCTTGGAAGTGGCCTATATGTCCATCAACATATGAGGGATAAAGAAAGTGTGTTATTTGTGCATAATGTAGTACTACTCTTCCATAAAGAAGGAGATAAACTTGAATTATTTATAGAAAAATGGATGCACTTTGAGACCACAATGTTAAGTGGAATAAATCAGATGTACAAGCTTAACTACCAAATATTTTCTCTTATATGAGAAGCCTAACATATAAAGGGAAATATAAAAGAAATGTATTAGGGAAATAGATCTTTGCAAAATGGAAGGGGATCAAGAGATGGAGGAAGAAAAGGAAGAAGATGAAAACAGAATTAAGATTTATTACATACATGTACAGGATCTTTATGTACCACAAACATGTACTAATGAAAAAATAAAACTTGAAATACTTTTATAAAAAATAGAAAAAAAGCCCAAACAATACAAAGTCAGAAACTGAACTTGTGTGACTGGCTAATGTCTGGAGACAAATGATTTCAGGACAACAGTGGGTGGGGTCAAAGCCTGAACATGGCTGGTCTCAACTAGGATGGTACAGAAGCCCAAACCATGGCTCAAGCTGTGGATGACACAAGGCTACTGTGATCTCACAATGCATTACAATGCCCTAGGAGCAACACAGAGATGGGTCCTAATCACCTTTAGGTCCACTAGTAGCCCCATGTCCCTCAGCTGAGCTTGGAGCTTAAAGTTGACGGGATGTGTCTCCTTCCAAAGCAGGCTCTGGAGGCTACAGGTGGCACACAAGGCTTGGTCTCAGTGAAGAGCTTACTCTGGTGGCTGAGTGAGCCACAGGAGAAACCTAACTGCCCATGCATGGCCCCAGGTGGTCCCACCTCCAACCTTGCTTTGGCAGCTGCCCACACCGGGGTTCAGAGCCATCCAGGGGGCAGGTGTGCTGGCAGTGACTAGACGAGGCCTGCTAGGATGCCAGGTTCCACAGTGTGGGTCAATTCCTCATCGGGACGCCTGTGAGTTTCTTCAGAGAAGTACCTGGGGTGTAGTCTCACTGGACCCAATTCTTGGGCAGGAAACTGACACAAACTTCAATACTTACTATATAGCATCTCTCATTTGAATAAGGCAAGGGACAAAGATCACAATGAAGGATGGGTAGAAGGAAACAAGGGAAGAATCTCTTGCAACTGGGAAGGGGTCCAGAGACTGAGAGCGAGGGGAGAAGGGAGGAGAAGGGAAAACACGTAGAATAAAAATATGCCATATAGGGAACCTAATAATTTCAATGAATGTCATAAACATAGGCTAAGATTAAAATATCAACAAGAGAGAAAATGGGGAAAGGGGATTTGGAGAAGGAAGGAGGGAGGCAGGGCAAAGAGAATTTTAAAAACAAGCTGTATTATGTACACATACCCACTCCCCAAAGATGATTATAAACTGCATGGACTGCAAATATATACTAATTTTTAAAAAAGAAACTTGTCTGGCTAGTGCTGACAGACTCCTTCTGTCTTTGGAGATTCCCCTTGATGGTGACACCGGCCTAGCCTGAGAGGGCAAAGGCATTGCCCCCTGTAGTGAGTGGCCAGGTTCCTGGAGTGTCCTCCAAAGGCCTTCCGGGCTGTGTGACAGTGCTGACCCATCCCTCTACCTTTCCTGCTGTGCTGGGGGTGAGAAAAACCACAGCTTAGCTTTTCTAGAGAATGAAAGGTTCTCTCTTGTAAGTCCTCCTAGGGGGGTCTCTGTGCCAGCTTCCGGTGCCCAGGGCCATCCATAGCGCTGGTTTCAGCTCCACGTGTTCTTGGCCAGCCATACTCCTGGTACATCTTCCAGGACTGTAAGGCTTTCTGCCATGCCAGGCTTCTCCACAAGCCAGCTGGACTTGATCTCACC